AGTCTTCAGGAGGCTAGAGTAGCCAGAAAACATTCCAGGCAAGGTCATATTTGAGTTTTGAAGTGATGATCCAATGAGTGAAAACACATTCCAGCAGAGGGAGGCAAAGAGACTGGAGAGATATCAAGAGACCAAGAGTTGTTCACATCTGAATAAAGAACATAAACAGAGGGAAGAGGAAGAAAGTAAGCTGGGGGCAAAATCCAGTGATGAAGTGTTCTCCACACCAAGCTGAGGCCTTATTATGAATGTAGTAGGAGCAGGAGAAAGTTTTCAAATGGAAGAATAACTGAACAAATCAATAGTCTGGAAAGACATGTATGAGCCAAACTGGATTTAACCAAAAAATAAAGAACTATAAGGAAGAGATGGGAAGAGGTCAGGAAAAACAATGTAAAAAGATCTTCATTCACTTCTCTCATGGTTAGGAGTTATCTTTACAATGTTACCAAATTATCCTTTGAATATGGAGAATTTAGATGGTTAAAAGCAGTAAGTCCTCAGAAGGCAAAAATCAGTGTAATGAAGAATTTGAGATTATAGTATTCATTTTAATTCAAGACATATTCAATGTACCTTTCGAATACATTCTATTCCATTGCAGGTTTTGTTTTGTTTTTTTTTTTTTAAAGAATATGTCTCTCTAACTCTAAATCTTATTTGGGATTAGGAGCAGACAACCATGAACTTTAAAGATTTCACAAACACAGAGATCATCTGTTACATTCACTTTAGAACAGATCTCTCCCCCTCAGTATTCCCTCCACAACCAAAAATTTTCCCCCACCTCCCAACCCCCCCTACCCCCCAACCTCACCCAAGGCACAGTCAGAGGTTAATTTAGGAAAGTAGATATGGAGAATGGAGGCAATCTCAAGAGAGAGACCTTTGAAGGTAAAAATAAGGAATACACATATCAGGGAGAATGTGGGCTATCTCCAGAGGGAGACATCCTGCCCAAAATACTTTAAGCATTTTTTTTTTAATCTTTCATTGGCAGTGCTGAAGATCAAACCCTGAGCCTTAGGCATACTAGACTAGTGCTCTACCACTGAGCAACACCCCAACCCAAGCCTAATTTCTTTTTTCCTTATTTCTTCCTCCTGCCTTAGCTTCCCAAATTGCTGGGATTACAAGCATGCACCACAGTGCCTGGCCCAAGCCTGATTTCTTTATGGTCATATTGTTTCAGAGCAAAAGACTGATTTCTGAACGCAGTGCCAGGGGTGGTGGCACCCTTCTGTAATTCCACTGATTCAGGAGGCTGAGGCAGGAAAATCGCAAGTTCAAAACCAGTCTCTGCAATTTAATGAGGCCCTCACAATTTAGAGAAACCCTGTCTCAAAATAAAAAACAAAAAAGGACTGGGGATGTGGTTCAGTAGTTAAAAGTGCCCCTGGATTGAATCCCTGATACCAAAAAAAAAAAAAGAATGGAGAAACCCCATGGAACTTCATACCATGCAGCTAGTCTATTCACTGCTAACAATTCCAACCATCAAGAATTTCCCTATCTAGGCTTTTTTGTTGGCATACCCAGGAGGTGGGCAGGGAGGATGTGACATTTATTCAGTAGGATAGGACTAGAATGATCAAAACAGGAACATCTTTAATGCTGGGCAATTTTAATATCATCTGTGGACTGCGACAAATGATCACTTTTTTTTTTTTTTTTTTTTTTTTTTTTTGTAATACGGTTGAACCCAGGGGAGTTTTACCACAGGGCACACTCCACCACTGAGTTACATCCCCACTCTTTTACCCTTTTCATTGAGTCAGGGTCTAGCTAAGTTGCTAAATTGCCCAGACAGGCCTCGAACGTACAACCCAACTGCCCCAGCCTCCCACCTCAGCTTCCCAAATCACTGGGATTACAGGCATGCGCTACTGCACCAGGCCTCATATATACATTTTAAAAAGAAAAAATATATATATTTGAATCTTACCAGTAATAACCTCAAGAAATATTTTCCTAACTGTCTAATAGTAGCAGAACAACAGATTCTAGGTACTCTTTTATTTCTTTGGGGTTCTTGTTTGCTTTAGGCTCTTTATTTCTAAAAAAAATCACAATAACCCATTCTGTATTTGCCGTTTTCAATTACCATAATTACTATTTAGTATAATATCTTTCCAGAAAAGATGCTTAATTTTATTTTATTTTATTTTATTTTTTTTTTTTTGGAATGGGATCTCGATCATTGCTCAGGTTGGCCTCAAACTCTTAGATGAAAGCAATTTTCCCACTTCAGCCTTCAGAGTAGCTGAGTCTTTAAGCAAACACCAATTTTCCCAGGTGGGTGCTCAATTTTTTTTTTTTTAGTTGTCAATGGACCTTTATTTTTTTATTTTTATGTGGTGCTGAGGATCAAACCCAGTGCTTCACACATGCTAGGCAAGTGCTCTACCAGAGCCACAATCCCAGGCCTGGATGTTCAATTTTAACACCAAGAAACCAGATCTTTTTTTTTTTTTTCTTATTCTTTTTGAAATGAGTCTTTTTGAGTAATCAGCTTTATGAAAAATTCCTAATAGTGTCCTTCTTTTCCTTCATACACTAAGGGTCTCTCAACATTCCACTCAAGGAGTCTGACTCCAGAGTCTCTTAGATTCATTCTCATCTACTTTACATAACTTGTAACCAGCTCCTCACCTCACATCTTTGTGGAATGGGTTAGAAGACCCAGTTCTATCCCTGGCTGAAGATGACTCTGTAAACAAGGACCAGGTAAATGTTAAAACTGGCGCTTCAGACTCCTTTCTTTTTCTGCCTAACCTTACAGATAGGGAGATGAAGGTCCAGGAAGGAAAGTTTCTTGCCCAAAGTCATAAAACCAAGAAGAGAATCTCTCCAATCCCCTGACATTGTCATTGTTTCTTTACTGAATTGAGCAGTCTGCATATCTAACACCATGAGCAAGTTAGCCATATGATTTAAATATGTAGATGGTTGGTTACATGCAAATCTTTTTTTTTTTTTTTGCATGGCAAATCTTATGCATTAAGAAAAGCCAACACTGACAGTAATTTTGAACACGTACCCAATACTTTCAAATGAGTCATCTGATCAAATGTACAGTGTCCAGTAAGTTATAAAGAGAACCTTTGCTCCAGAGAAATCATGTGTCAAGACAAATAAACATTCTAAAAGTTCAAATCTGAATTGGAAATTCTGATACCAACTTCACCTTAGTTATAACCACTAGGATTACTCATCATTCACTATGATACTGTAACTTGACACTCAAATTATCCAAACTGTTACTAAGGCACACAGTGATAAAGCTTTTCTATGGCACAATAAAAATTATTTTTTTTCATTGAAAATGAATGTCAAGGAAATCCCTCCATACCTGGGATATACACAGGCAAGCACTATGCAAGCATTCTCCAGCTAKCTCAAGCTCCTGAGTCTTAAGAAACTCTGCTTTGTGTACACTCCAAATCAAAAGAGAAAAGGACACATTTCAATGGAAATAATTATTGGCTCAGTCATTTCTTTATAGAAAAAAAATTTATTCAAATCAATAGTCTACTTGTTCTTTCATTATATCCCTTTCTGTATTGGTTTGGCTACTTTATAACATACATATATTACTTTTATATCTTGTTTTTAAATATTTTTTTAAATGACAATCATCCCTCAGTATCCACAGGGGATTGGTTCGAGGATCCCTGTGAAAACCAAAATCTGTGGATGCTCAAGTCACTTACATAAAATGGCCAAATATATGCTTACAACCTACCCACATCCTCCAGTATACTTTAAATCACCTTTAGATTACTTATACTAATTAATACAACAAAAATGCTACATAAGTAGTTGTTTCAGTATATAGTTTAGGCAACAATGACAAGGAAAAAAATTTGTTCAGTACAGATGAAATATTTTTTTCAAAATTTTTCCATTCCTGATTTGTTGAAGGAATGACTGAATAGTCTCTTTGGTGTCTCCTACACTGGCAAAATTAGTCACATCTCAAGTCTTTAGAAATGACTGCTAGTTACAGTTACTTATGTAACTGTAACTCTAATTTTATCTCAAGATTCATCGTCCTTAGTGACAGCAAATGTTGCTGAATTCTGCAACATTTAAAGGTTCTTGTATTTGTTGTAAACAAGAAACATTACCAATGCTTGAGATACTCAAACTAGGCAGCGAACTTATGGAAATTTTACCTGGCTCCTCTTATACTATAAGATAAATTATGAAGGACATAAACAAATAAAGGTTTCCTGTATTTGAATGATCACAGGAATTCTACTTTGACCTGTGAACAGGCTAAACCTACCTGGAAACTGAYTGGTTTTCTAGTCATCTCCAGGGTAGCTGCCCAAGAGTGAATTATGATGTTTCAAACTTATCCACATAACTAAGACAATTAACCATCTTGCTAGAAATGCAAATTTTACTCAGCAATACACCGGATTATTCATGTCTGATCCGACGCAATTAACCAAGTCTCAAGAATAAAAGACATTAAGCCAGTATGGAGCTGACCTCCCAGCCGAAGGGGAAACCGCCCCAACAGAACCAACGCCCGCAGCAAGCCTGGGGTTCGAGGCTCCCAGCCCTTGCTCCCCGCGCTGGGTCTTCAGGATCCTGAAACAATGCTATCCCAGCCCAAGACAAGGTGCCAGGGTGACCAGACAGTGATTCCAGTATATCCTGGAGCATGCACAGAGCAAAAAGCGAGAGCAGCACCCATCCTCTCGTCTCAGAGGCGACGCGCTCCGAGGACCCAAAACCAGCTGAGACCCCACACCAGCCAGGACGCCCTAAGGACCCGAGGGTCCACGGCACCGGATGCGGGTCAAGCCAGTAGCAGGGAAAGGGACCGCGCAGGCGCGCGACGGGTTGGGGGGCCCACGAGGGGGACGGCGCAGGCGCGAGGCCCGCCGGGGTCTGCGGGGCCGCCTGGGCCAGGCCGCGCGGGCGGCTTTGAGCTCTTGGACTGACCCGCCGGCGCACGCTGTTAGGGGACCTGTCCTGGCTCTTACCGCGCGGCACCGCCTTACTCGCTCCCTGGCTCCGGGCTGGGGCCGGGCGGCGAGCTCGCCCGGTGGCGCGGCCCCTGATCCGTTGAGTCCGGCCTCAGGGCAGCAGCCAACCCCGCGGCGCCGCTCGCCCGGCCCGCCCTCGGCCCGCCCCTTCTCCGCCCCTCAGGGCCACCACCGCGGCCTGCGCAGACGCCGTACTGATCCCGTCCACGCCCCACCACCGCGCAGGCGCCAGTTGCCCCGCCCACTCGTATCCATCTCTTCCCTAGGTAGCGCAGGCGCACTGCCCGTCGGCCATCATAAAATTACCTGCCGTTCCATTACCCACTTGTCAACTCTCGAACTGGACATTTTCCGGGCAGGTGGACCAGTAGGTTCCTTTGGGTGCTTCTGGGTGATGCGTGCAGAGTTCGCTAATCGAAGAGACTTTTCTCAGAAAATAAGTCCATCCTTCGTGCAGTAGAAATTTACAGTATGCCAAGGACTGTGCTAGGTACGAGTCACAAATCTTTTGCCCAAAGCCTACCCACTTGGCGCCACTGGTACATCAGGGAACACACAAAAAACAAGTCAACAACAATACTAAAAATAGGCTAAGCGGCCTGGGGTTGTGGCTTAGTTACCTAGCACATGTGAGGCGCTGGGTTCGATACTCAGCACCAAAAGTATAAATAAATAAAGGTATTGTGGGGCTGGGGTTGTATCTCAGAGGTAGAGCGCTTGCCTAGAGTGCAAGAGGCACTGGGTTCGACCTCAGCACCACATAAATATAAAATAAAGATATTGTGTCCAAATGACTGAAAAAAAATATTTTTAAAAACTGAAAATAAAAGATAGGCTAAATGTACTTTATCAAGGAAAGGCAGTTCTAATACGTCCCAAGTGGACCTATTGCAAGAAGTTTTTTCCTTTGATAGTTAGAACCACAATAGGTTTTTCTTTTATCTACGTTATCAAGTTCCTAGGAAGAACACAACTTGGTCAGATATATTTTTACTACATTGCTGGACTATTTGCTATTTTATTTAGTGTTCTTTGCCTGTATATACATAAAAGATTGACCTATCGTTTGCTTTCTTGAACTGGGTGTGTTTTGATATTAAGCTTATAGAAATTCTCAGTTCGTTTGAGTCCTTTTTCTGCTTCATTTGGAAGATTATGAATAAGAGCAGGAGAGTTTTGTTTGTTTTTTATGGAGCTATGGATCAAACCCAGGGCCTATTCGTGCTAGGCAAATCTACCATTGAGCTACATACCTTATCCAAAAGCAGGGTTTTATGTTTTTCCTAATGTTTCCTAATGTTTGCTAATTGTCCAGGCATGGTATTCTTCTTTGGCTTTGCATTTTGTGAGATTTTTGAGGGAATGGAATTCAGTTTTTAATCTAAACATTCAATTTCTTTAACAGCTCTACTCTCTAGACAGACTATTTCTTCCTGTGTCGTCTTTTGCTGTTTTTTTGTTTGTTTGTTTGTTTTCAGGAATGTATCTGCTTTCTTGTTTTAAAAATCATTGGCATAGGGGCTGGGGTTGTGGTTCAGCGGTAGAGTGCTCACCTCGCACGTGCAAGGCCCTGGGTTTGATCCTCAGCACCACATACAATAATAAATAAATAAATAATAAAGTTAAAAATTTTTTTTAAAAAAATCATTGGCATAAGTTATTTAAAAATCGAGTGGTTTTTGTTTTGATTTTTTTAAATGTATCTGAAGATACTTGAAATACATTTACATATTTCAAGTTCAGAAAGCACATCTCAATCCTATCATTCTTGTAGTTCCCCAGATGCAGCTAACTATAGTGTCTTAGTATCTTTCTAGTAATGCTTTATGAGTATAAACAAATATCCAAATAAACAGATATGTTTTTTTGCTTTTTTTTTTAATAGAAATGGTACTATACTATATTTACTGAATTGTAATTTGTGTGTGGGGGGGTATTTGGGATTAAACTCAGGGGTGGTCTACCACTGAGCTACATTACAAGCCTCTTTTAAATGATTTTTATTTTGAGACAGAGTCTCACTAAGTTGCTGAGGCTGGCCTCAAACTTGCAACCTTCCTGCCTCAACTTCCTGAGTCACTCTGCACCCACCTGTATCTTTTCTTTCTTTCTTTCTTTCTTTTTTTATTTATAGATGGACACAATACTTTTATTTTATTTATTTATTTTTATGTGATGCTGAGGACTGAACTCAGTGCCTCATTCGTGCAAGGCAAGCACTCCCCCACTGAGCTACAACCCAAACCCTGTACCTTTCTTTTAAAGACAAATATCTGATATTTCTTGTGAGATTTTTCAGGGTACAGAATTCAGATTTTAATCTAAGCATTCAGTTCTTTAATAGTTGTAARTCTAGACAGACTATTTCTGTGTTCACATTAGCAAAGGGCTAAGGTTGTGGTCTGGAGAGACAGCCAGCAGCAGGTTAGATATCAGTTCTGGCCCCATTATTTACTAGGTGTCTGTCTTTGCATCCCAGTTTTCTCATCTACAAAATGGGTGTTTTTATGAGTTTGTGTGAGGATTCAGTAGAATAATACATGGATAGGTCTTGGCCACCACACTGAAGATGCTGATAAGTATACTCGGTCATTGATACTGCACCTGTTTAGGCATGTATAGCTCAAAAACCATTCAACATATGTTGCATCATTTTGTTTTTATATCAGCCCTGTAAGAATTTTGCATGAGAGCAGAATGGAGATTTAAAGAGGTTATTTCACTTGTTCAAGACTACTCAGCTAGAAATAAAATATGACTGTCTGGTCCTAAAGCTGCAGTGATTGATGCCCACCATACTATAGTATTCAAGTTCCCAGCCTGGTGGGGGAGGCTCTGGTCCCCACACCCACCTCTGCATGTGTAGCTGTTTCTTGCTCTTCTAGAACCTCACCTTCCCTTTATTCTGTGAGGATGGATTGCCTTCACTTCCTTGCTCTTTCTCATGGTATCCAATGTCCCTGATTTGCCTTCTCCTCATGGAAACAAACCTTCCTCACATGCCTTCTCCTCCTCCAAGAATCCCACTGACTCCTCCAGGACATGTTAGTAGCAGTTTCACCCAGCATAATTCCAAGATATTCTGCTACCACAGCCAAAGAATGCACTAAGAGTCTGGGAACTTGGTTGAAGCCATCTCTGCACCCTCTMAGCCCTAACTACAAAGTCTGGTCACTGAATTCCAGCATGAGATTGCTGCTCACAAATGTCTGCTCAGCAACCTTCCCCCACCCCTCCATTCTAGTAGAAAATCTATTAGAGTGGGTTTTGCTCATTAAAAGCAATATATAAGAATGTTCATAGAATTTTTTTTTTCATTACGACAAGATCTCACAATGTTGCCCAGGCTGGTCTTGAAATCCTGGACTCAAGTGAGCCTCCTGCCTCAGCACCCCAAGTGCTAGGTAGGACTACAGGGACTGCTGCTCCTGCCCTGTCTACTACATCCAGATAGATGCTTAATTTTAATGCTAGATGGTAGTTTTTCTTTCTTTTTCTTTGGGATATGCTATGAGATCTTTTCTAGGAAGACTGACCTCATGGCATACACCAGATAGGGAAGGTAACCCTAGCAGTTAGGAACCTGCTCATGATCTGGGTATCAGAGAGTCTGAGAAGCTGAGATGGTGATGGGGTCAGAGGTGAATGATCTGAGGGTGAGGTATAGAATCATCCAAACTCCATGACACTCTGTGACGGGGCCTCAGTACTGGCATCTGGGTTGTCCCATTGTTCTCACTTAAACCTTGCCCCCCTTCTTTGATCATCCTCCTGAGCTTGCTAGGACCAGAGGAACAAAAAGATCAGACATTTGAGGCAGATGCTGGGCAAGAGCCATGAGAGAACCTGATTATGGGCCTGGTCCTAGGGAAGCTAGTGGCCAACTCCATGAGCAAAGGACCCTATCTATTCATGTGTGAGCCTTTCATAGGGCCTAGTCTCCAAGTTTCATGTCACGGATGCTGCCATGACCTTTATTTATGGATTAAGATTGCCCAGCATGGTGCACGCCTGTAATTCCACAGGCTCAGGAGTCTGAGGCAGGAGGATCATGAGTTAAAAGCCAGCCTCAGAAATTTAACAAGGCCCTAAGCAACTCAGTGAGTTCCTGTCTCTAAATAAAATACAAATAAAAGGGCTGGAGATGTGGATAAGTGGCTAAACACCCCTGAGTTCGATCCCCAGTATCCCCCCCMAAAAAAAATTTTTTTCCCAGAACTTCTCTCCTATTTGGCCCTGCCACTCCTGCCCTGCCATCTCATCCCTGAGATGGGCCAAGCTTTGCAACCTGGGGCCCCCATGAGCTCAGTGCCTCTGGTTTCTCAACGACCTGTTAAACTGATTCTGAGCACCACAGCCTGAAGTCCATCCTGATCACTGACTGCCCTTGTTGGGCCCAGCTGCCTCCATCTGTATCACAGCTAAAGGAGCCAGAACCAGCGGGGCTGCAGGCCAAGTTTTAATCTGAAAACAACTGCTCTCAACTATTAGAAAGTGATCAGCTCTGACTGCCAGGACATGGGGCTGGGTATTCTTGACTCACTTCTCTTAGAGCCAGATTAGCTCTTGGTCTTAGGAAATGTGCATCTGTCAGCCAAGAGAGGATGTTTCTGCAAACAGACAAGCTGTTTACCTTCTACAGCGATACCTGGATACCCCACACCTGATAATTGTGACTTGAAACGTGGGAGGCTCCTTGAGATGTCCAGCAGGCTGCAAACCTACACAGAGGAAGAACAGAAAAGAAAATCAAACTGTGCCTGGTGGCACATGCCTGAATCCTAGAAGCTCAGAAGGCTGAGGCAGGAGGATCTCCAGTTCAAAGCCAGCCTCAGCAAAAGTGAGCCACTAGCAACTCAGTGAGACCCTGTCTCTAAATAAAATACAAAATAGGGTGGGGATGTGGCTCAGTGCCCCTGAGTTCAATCCCTGGTTTTCACCCTGACCCTCCCCCCCCCGAAAAAAAAAGAAGAAAAGAAAATTATTCAGGTTAGCGCATCTATCCACCTCATGGCCRAAAGAGATCAGAGATCTTCAGACTCTATCATTTCACAGTTAAGCAAACAAAAGCCAGAGATAAGGAAATAGCCAATGCTTCCCATGTGCCAGTTTCATG